ATATATGCATATATTTATATATATATGCATATATATATATATAAGCTGATATATATATATATATATGCATATATATATATATATATATATAAGCTGAAGATGAAGGAATCAAGTGTTTTACAGATGAAGAGCATATGGATAGAGCGAAGACTTTTGTGCATTTGTTTGCGCCGTCTTCATTATATATAATGCGGTCTTCAGTTGCATTATTATTAAAAAGGAGAAAGAAGAGGAAAAAGAGAAAATGAGGTGTATGTACACTGCAGCAACACCAAAAAATATGCATTAAAAAGAATTTTTTTGTCTTCTTCTTAAACAGCTAAACAGACATTAAAATACATTCTTTGCCTTTATTTTAACTGAGTTTTTTGTCTAATTGCAGCTCCTTTCTGTTGCCTAGAAAGAAGCGCATCATTACATCGTGCTGAGTTGGTGGAGGAGCAGTTTGTTTGCCTTCTTCTGCAGACAAACACATATATATAAAATATAATATATAATATATATCTATATTATACAATATATAATATATATAATATATAGGTATTATATAAAAATATAATTGTAATCAAAGCATCCTGTCTAAACCTTGTATTAAAAGGAGAACAATCAAACATTGTATGCGTCTAAATAATTAAATATACTAATTAATTTAGTTAATAATACAATATAATAATTTATCCTTCCGATAAACTGCATAAGAATAAATCTACAAAGATTAAATAAATAAAGTTTTTCTTACTAATTCTTTTCGCTATCCTCTCCTGTTTAGCTTCATACTCATCTAAGATGAGCGTCCAATTGGGTCTGTCTTCATCATAATTTTTATTTTTTTCTTGCAATTGTTGTTTCGGATGCTGTTCAGGAAGAAGCAATGATCTATTTGCAGCAATTAAACCTCTTGGAGGAGGCAGAGGCCTGTCAGCTCTGTAGTACAGCCCGTCTGTAGACTGTACATATCTCGAAATAAAAGGTTTCTTTCCTAGATAACCCCGGGGTTTAAGAGGAAGTGTTGCTGCATTAACTCCTTGTGAAGCCTATCAACATAGCAGAACAAATACGCATGCGCTCTCAGTTAGCTGAAACAAAATGCAGCACATTCATGCATGCATGCATGCATGCATGCATGTATTTACAGCTTAAAATATATTATTTTATCTCTATTAATTTATAAGAAATGAAAACGCACAGCTGAGGCTTCTTCTTGACCTCTTCTCCAGACAATATTTTTGTAAAAAGGTTTAAAAGATTTTGAATTATGCTGCGAAACAAAATAAACAGCAGTACTATTATAATGAATCTGCATGCATGCATGCATGCATGCATGCATGCTTCTGGTGTCTTCACTCTTATAAATTGAATAATAAACAGAGCTAAAAAGAATGTACATTTGTTTTATCTTCGTCTTCTCCTCTTCTCCACACCAAATTTTTATAATAACGAGGAGGGCCGGGTCTGTAAGGCGTCTGATAAAATGCAGATAAATAAATACAAACATGCACTAATTACTAAATATATATATATATATATATATGTAGAGATGTATACATATATACATATGTAGAGATGTATACATATATATATTTACATATGTAG